AGGCATGCGCCACCATGCCCGGCTAATTTTTTCTATATATTTTTAGTTGTCCAATTAATTTCTTTCTATTTTTAGAAGAGACGGGGTCTCGCTCTTGCTCAGGCTGGTCTCGAATTCCTGAGCTCAAACGATCCGCCCACCTCAGCCTCCCAGAGTGCTAGGATTACAGGCGTGAGCCACCACGCCCGGCCTGTTTTATCTGTTTTAAAATTAAAATTTAGGACCACTCAGTAGTAATGGTGATCTATGAACATTCTGAAATTATATGAAGACTTTTATCTGCTTTAATGCATACATTCACTTTTCTGACTTTTTATCAGATTTCAAAGAGGTTCCTAATCCCCAAAAGATTAAACACAGTACTAGAATAGTAGAAGCATTTGAATTTTCTTCTTAATTCTATATCTAAAATTAAAAATTCTAGGCTAGATGCGGTGGCTCGTGCCTGTAATTCTAGCACTTCAGGAGGCCAAGGTGGGAGAATTGCTTGAGGACAGGAGTTTGAGACCAGCCTGAGCAACATATCGAGACTCTGTCTCTACAAAAAATAGAAAAATTAGCCAGGCATGATGGTGTGTACCAGTAGCCCCAACTGCTTGGGAGGCTGAGGTGGGAGGATTGCTTGAGCCCAAGAGTTTGAGGTTGCAGTAAGTTTTGATGATACCACTGCACTCTAGCTCAGGCAACAGAACTAGACCCTGTCTCAAAAAATAAAATAAAAATAAAAAATTAAAATTCTATATCTAATTCTAAATCTAATTCTGTATTTGTATATTTCAGCTAAAAATAAATGGTATTTAGGTTTTAAAGCCATTCTACTAAGGCAGCTATATTTAGCCACCTTTACCAGTTTCCCCTTACTTACATAAGATTGTTCTTCATGCAATAAGCACCCAAAATGCTACAGCACAAAAAAAGCTTCCTGAGCTATGTGTAGTGTAAGTGAAGGTGAGAATATATTAGTTATAACTCACCTCTTTTGTCACCTCTTATAAATATTTCATTCTCTAAAATCTTTTCACTTATTTCCTATTAGAAATGATAGAAAATTATTTTCAGATTATAGGCAGTGGATAAGAGTACATTTAAAATGTGGACCATGTGAAGTACTAAATGGAATAGGGTGAAGTGAAATAATCCTTATTCTTTCCAGAGTTAAATCTGGAGTTAGCCATGTGAATTACTGACAAGAAGTTTTATTTTATTGAGGCATTGTGAAGAAAAAGAGTTATGTGAGATGCTGCACATAAATCCCATTTTTCTCATTTTTTCCCCAAGGTCCTTTGAAATGCAGGTTTATTTATCCCTGGAATCCCAGAATGTTGAGTGGAGTACTAAAGCTTTACCGTTGTAGTTACTGCTGCTTTAAACAGCAGCCCCACTATGCAAGAATAGTTGTAGAGATTAAAATGTTACATAAGTGTTCTTTAAATGTGTGTGTGTGTAGTTTATGTAAAAAATGTAAAGTCCAGAAAAATATAATTTTTATATGTTAACATGACTTAAAACAGAGGGCACTGGGAAGAGATGTGAGCTAAGCCAGTTTCATAACACTTGTCCCAATCTAATGTACCTGTCTATCTTCAATGTAGAATGTTTTATGAAAAGAAGATAAACCCATTTTAAGTATTGGGTTCACATTGCTTTTCATGGTGGGCAACCATTTCTTGAATCCTTAAATTTTTTTATTTGACAGAATTACAAAGTGAAGTAGACATAGGGGTTCTCTCTTCTGGTGGGATCCTTTTTTCTTTTAGGTTCCCAAGAATTCCTATTCCTCCATGGTTTAAATAATAGGTAGGTCTTTATATTTTAAAGCATGCTGGTAAAGAAAAGGAACTGACAGTAATATTACTTGTAAGTAAGTTTGTTTTTTTTTTCTCTCAGTAGGAATCTAAGAAAAAAATTGTGTATAGCAAGCATTTTTTCAAGAAATTCATTTGTACCTGGTATATAACAAAATGTAAATATTTACTATTAGGTATAGGATGTTTTGAGGGTTTGCAGTTAAAAGCATAGCCTTACCTTGTAAGAGTTGACCACACTTTTGATGTCTATTAATCTTAATAAAATATGATAATATTTGTGTGACAATTGGTCTGTTTTGATTATCCATCAAACTTATAAACAGTGATGATAAAATGAAGATCTTTTTTTCAGGTTTCTTCTACCCACCTCATCCATGAGGATTTTTCTTTCCTCTGAGATACCTTAATTGTGCTTTAATATGATGTAAGACTAGAATTGAGGGTAAACTTCATTTTCTGATATTTTAGGAGAAGGGAAAAAAATAGAAATTTGTCATTCATAAAGATTGATTCAGTTTTTGTGCAAAGTTTGACCTTCGAGCTCTTTGTTCCCATTTCTTTATTTTAATTCAAATCTTATGCTCAATTTTAACTCCTTGTTTTTAGGTGGTTAGCCAGCGTTTCCCACAGAACAGCATCGGTGCAGTAGGAAGTGCCATGTTCCTCAGATTTATCAATCCTGCCATTGTCTCACCGTATGAAGCAGGGATTTTAGATAAAAAGCCACCACCTAGAATCGAAAGGGGCTTGAAGTTAATGTCAAAGGTGAATTATTTTGTTAATCTAGCTATCTTAAATTCCCCTTTCAAATAAATTTTCAGTTTTTCATACAGTACTTCTCGAATTTACTTTTGAAATGCCTTGTGGTTTTCAATGATGTGCTTTTGTTTTATTGATATTATAAAGGGATTCATTAGATCAGTAACTGATGGGCCTTATTATCATGAGAAAATGTTTTAGCAAACATCTTGTGTTCTGGAGATAGGTTTCTGTATAATCATTCTGGAAATTCTGAAACAGAGACCAAAATGTAGAGTATAAGATTTTTTATTTAAAAGGACATTTTAAAATTTTAATATGTATTTTATATATGTAAATATATGTATATATAATAATTATATTTATATTTGGAATGAATAGAAACAACACCTAGAGTAACTTATAGAATGAGAAATGATTGATTGGTTTTAACTAGTAGAAATTATATCAATGAGAAAATTCATACTTTTAAAGGATATATTAATATATAGACTTCATATACTAAATAACTGGGTTGTTTATATTTTGTTGTTTAGATACTTCAGAGTATTGCCAATCATGTTCTTTTTACAAAAGAAGAGCACATGCGGCCTTTTAATGATTTCGTGAAAAGCAACTTTGATGCAGCACGAAGGTAAGCAGCCTGCCACTGGGTTGATTGCTCTGTTTGAATCAAATGTTTTCAGTTTCACTTAAGTACATGTACCTGGTCTACATGAAGTTCCTGTGTAGGTTTTTTCCTCTTCCCTTTCTAGGTCAAGACATAGTTTGTCTTATCTTATTTTACTATAAAAGACAGTCATGAAATAAATCCATATTCTTTCAAATTTTGTTGTCATTTCTATATTTGAAAACCAAGAGGGATTTTTGACATATTTAGCAAAATAAAGGATTTGAGGTTGCTGTAATATGGAGACAAGGAAGAAGGAAAAGACTGCTTTTATTAAAAACTAAAACCAAACTGGTATAGATAATTCATAATAGCATATAATCAGAATTTTTTTAATGTAAGAATATTTTTGATAATTCAATTTGGAAGTTTGTTTGAACTAAAAAGTTGCTCTTTAAACCAAGTAATGCAAACACATATTTTATTCATGAGTAATTGAATGAATGTTGAGGCTTTGTGATTTTAGAAGACTTTTCTGCTAGATTTCCAAAACTGAGTAGGGAGTTTACTTTATTTCCCTGAGTTATTGGTTTATCTATAAACTAGTAATAAACTATGTTTGCCTGAGTTGTTTTTAGAAAAACAAAATGAGATGATCCATGTGAAAGTGCTTTGTAAATATAAGTTAACGTCCAAAATTCTACCTTTCACACAGTATGAATCTAAATGATCTCATCATCTAAGCTAGCCTTGTACAAGTCTTTCTTCAAGTTTATCATCATCATAGTTCTTATTGACTTCTTTCTGTTAGGGAGATTGGAGTTTAAAGGTGTGTTGCTGGACTCCAAGCCATATTGGAGAGAAAGTGAATGTCATCGTAGGATTTATATTCTAGCAGACTTGACTACCCATAAAAAGTTAAAGGAACCCAGATTCTGATCCTGGCTCTGACCTAACAGGGTGTTTAACTTTGGGGAGGTCTTTTATCTTATGTGGGCCTCCATTTACTTATCTGTAAAATACTGACTTCTCTCCAAAATTTCATCCATCTAAATTTTGTTGTTCTCTAACTTTAGGTCCTAATCTGAAGCTGAAGCCAGGTATCAGAATTGGAAAGCCAACTTTCTCCTTGTTCTTCTTGCTTTGTGTAATCACAAGTCACATTGTGTGAACAAGCCCTCCGTATTTGTAATCTCAGTTACTTCACAAAATTACCTCATAAATTTAATTCAAACATAGGTATGAGTGTATCTGGTGTTGAAAATTCTAATCACTTTGCATTTTTAAAGGTTTTTCCTTGATATAGCATCTGATTGTCCTACAAGTGATGCCGTAAATCATAGTCTTTCCTTCATTAGTGATGGCAATGTGCTTGCTTTACATCGTCTACTCTGGAACAATCAAGAGAAAATTGGCCAGTATCTTTCCAGCAACAGGTAAGATTTCCCAATCATGGAGATAATGAACACTCTCAGTTTAAATTTATTTATAAAATTATTGGTCTTGAATAGTGCTTTCCTCTTTGCATCACTTCCTGAAGTAAGAATTACAGTTTGTAAAGAGAAAGGTAGATTCTTTTTTTAAAAAATAGGCAAAAGGTTAAGTCATATTAAATGATCAACAAGCCTACCTAGATGGTACTGATTTTCTTTTTTTAATGTCAAATTAAGAAATCTCAAATTAGCCCTTTGAATTTTTCGGTTCTCAAACTGTAAAACATAATGTGCAACAAGACACAGAGAAGTTTAAATTTACTAAAAGATCAAATTAGTATTGGCATTTGAACCTGAAGAGCAAATAAGTCTTAGGAACTTAATAATTAAAACATTGCCAGTGGCCTTAGTCCTATGTTTGAGGAATTCCTTACAGAGGTAAAATGAGTCCAGATTATTTTCAAATGCCAATAAAAATGGTTTGCTTTTTCATGGGAAAGGTAAGGCTAAGCAACTAAGAAATGGGAGTTTAAAAGAGAGGGCATTTTAATCCTTCATGAATTGTTAATGGTTTGAAGTAGACGTGGACATGACTAATGTATACCCCTAACATAGAAAAATGAAGTTGTTTCAGACACCAAAATAAACTGTGAAACTTTTGAATACAAACATTCTTTTCTCTTATATAATTTATATTTATATTCACAGTTTGATGCTAGAGAGTTTTTTTATTTTGGTTTTTAAAATATTATACACATTTTAAACATACAAAAAAGTATAGAAAATGATGTAACAGAGACCCATGTCTACCAACTAGCTTTAACATTATTTATTTTGCTGTACTTTAGATCTTTATAACATTTTATTTCTGGGGGGTGGGGGATGAATACACACACACACACACACACACACTCTTCCTCTTGACAATCCCATTTCCTTTTTCGAGACAGAGTCTTGCTCTGTCACCTGGAGTACAGTGCTGTGGTGTCAGCCTAGCTCTCAGCAACCTCAAACTCCTGGGCTCAAGCGATCCTCCTGCCTCAGCCTCCCAAGTAGCTGGGACTACAGGTGTGCACCACTATGCCTGGCTAATTTTTTTCTACTTTTTAGTTGCCCAGCTAATTTTTTTCTATTTTTAGTAGAGACAGGTTCTCTATTTTGCTCAGGCTGGTCTCGAACTCCTGAGCTCAAGCAATACTCCTGCCTCGGCCTCCCAGAGCACTAGGATTACAGGCATGAGCCACCATGCCAGGCCTGACAATCCCATTTCTATGCTTCTCTCTAGAGATACCTACTTCCTAAAGCTGGTTGGTATGCTTCCTGGGTATACATTCATACTGTTCTGCAGTATACGTGTAACTGACAAAATAAGGAAATTATAGGTGTATATAACATAGTTTTGTATGTATTAAAATTTTGCAGCAATGCTATAGTGAATACAGCCTCTTCATGCAACATTCTATTCAAGATTTATCATTTATTTAATTCAAGTTAGTATTTCATTAAATGACTATATCACAGTTTATTTTTGCATTCCTGAATTAATGGACATTTACATTTGTTTCCCATTTTTCACTGGTATAAATAGTGATGCGATACATACCTTCATGCTTGTCTCCTAGTGTAGTACCTAAATGTATAATTGCTGGGTGTGGTGTACACCTAGCCTCAACTTTACTGGATATTGCCAAATAGCTTTTCAAAGTGTACGTGCCAATTTACACTTTGACCAGCACTGTGTGAGAATATCTTTTTATATGCATCCTCACCAGGGTTCGTATTATCAGACTTCATAATTTTTGCCAATTTGATGTTGTGAAGTAGTATTTTATTATTCTTATATAGTTTTACTTGTTATTAAAAATTCATATTTCCCCCGGTTACGCAAAGATCTGCTATCGGGGCAATATGTTCAATTCATAAATACTGATTTCTCAAGATGGATTCTTTTCATCCTGAGAAAAAGTGAATCAGAATGTTGTTTTTACTTACTGATTGATTGACCAACTGTTTAGTGGAATGGGTTATGAATTCTAGAAAAAATTGAATTTTTATGTAAATTTTATACTTTGAGGAGATGTTTCAATGTATACTTATGATCCCTGAGGTCTTTTTGGTGCTGTTTACAAATCAGCAGGGACCACCAGCTGACGGTAAAAAGAAATGCAAGCAGTGACAATCTAAAGAAATGTGTACTGCTAAATGTGAACTGCTACTTTTTTTCTAAGTAGTTTGCTATATGTAGGGATCATAAAGCTGTTGGAAGACGACCGTTTGATAAGATGGCAACGCTTCTTGCATACCTGGGGCCTCCAGAGCACAAACCTGTGGCAGATACACACTGGTCCAGCCTTAATCTTACCAGTTCGAAGTTTGAGGAATTTATGACTAGGTAAATATAACCTTGAAATTATGGTTACTTTCTTTTTGTTTGAAAAGCAAAGTTTTACGACCAGGCCACTTGTTAGATATGATAGTTGTATCTAATAATTACATCGCCATGTTTTTGGATCCAACTTTCCTCTTACCCAAGGCATTATTGAAATATATACATAGTCATGTGTATATATTTCAGTAATATTTGTATATATATTTTTGAGATAGGTTCTTGCACTGTGACCCAGGCTGAAGTGCATTGGTACAGTCATAACTCACTGTAACCTCGAACTCCTGGGCTCAAGCAATCCTCCCCTCTCAGCTTCCTGAGTAGCTGGAACTACAGGCACATGCCACCACGCCCAGAAGTCTCTTGGTTTTAGGTGCAGTAGTTTTTCTATTACACTATGACATTTTTCATAATTCTCCTAAAAGTTAATGCTTTTAAATTCTTTTAGATTAAGGCTCAGAAAATATAGTATACTTTAATATTGCTATAAAATTTCTGTGGACATTTGTTTTGAATCTCATTTACAGGGATTTAGTTTGTGAACTGAAAGATCCTCATTGTTAGACACTTAGTGCTCTAATGTTACAGCGAAGGTCGTTTGCTGAATTCTTCGGTCTTTAAAGTACCTTTGACAGTACTGTACACTTACTAAGTGCTCCATCTTGGCTGTGGGTTAAGTGTTTTGTTCATAGCATGTGCCAGAGGCAGAAAGAAAAAAAAACGAGAATCTAATGTTCAGAAGTTCATTTACATTAAAGATTTACATATAATATGCCTTGAATTGTAAGTGCCTATTATTAATCATGTTATATATAGGCCGTAGTTTTGTACATATAACTCCAATTCATGGATATTGTTAAAAGAATATATGAATATAAGAATGTAATATCTTTGTCAGTTTAATTTTTGTTTTTAGCTCTATTAGATTTTTCTCAGTATAACAAATGTTTATTCCTACATAATTAAGGGAATACATTCCATACAAAATTTTGATATTACCTAATTGAAAATTACATAGTACAAAAATATAAAAACTTTTCATTCAACATTACTGGACATCTAAGCCATTTTTCAATGTTTCTAAGAACATTTTTATTATTTCTTTCTTTCGAAGACCTTACCATCCCTTAGAAAACAGTCATCTGTGCTTTTGAAGATTAAATGATTTAATATGTTTAATATACTTAGAACAGTGTCTGGTCTATGTAAAGTGTAATGTTAGATGTTATTTTCGTTCTATTCTAAATTCCCATTAATGTTCTTTGAGACCCATCCCCC